TTGCTGGTCATGTGACTGGCTGGCGTGGCTTGCTGGTCACATGACTGGATAGGTGTGGTTTAGTGGTCATGTGACTGGGTGGGCGTGGCCAGGTGACTGGCAAACCAAATACAAGTGGTCCTCACTTAATGGCCCGTTGTTTAGCAAGTGTTCTAATTTATGACTGGCCTCCCCAGAGCTACTTGACCTGTTTTTGGAGTTTTGACAGCCATGCACACACATATACACACACTCCCTTCTAACCCTGATGGAGCAGGTCATTGGACTAGAATCGGCAAAGCATCTCTGATTAGACTCTAGTAGTGAATAAAATCTAATCAGAGATGCTTTGCCGATTCTTGTTGATTTGTTTTATTTTTATTTCTTTATTTTATGTTGCTGAATTGCATTGACACGTGTGTCCCTTCTTGTGCACAACCCAGAAGCTTTTGTGATTCTTTGCAGCAAAAATTACCGACCTCTGGCTTTGCTCTACTTTTGAAATGTGCCGGCACTGCCGCGTTCTAGGTGCCAGCCCCGCAGGTCCACCCCATTGAGCCCACTGAACCGGAGGGACCTGCCCAAGCAAGTCTGAGCGAAACAGTGCACCAAGTCAATGGGATGAGCCTGAGAGAGGGAAAGAGAGAGAGAGAGAGAGAAGAGAGAGAGAGAGAAAGAAAGAGAGAAGGAAGAAAAGAAAGCGAAAAGGGAAAGGAAAGATGAAGAAAGATGGGGGGATGAAAGGAAGGGAGAGAAAGAAAAAGAAATAAAGGAGGAAGGAAGTAGGGAGGAGAAAAATAATGAGATATCTATTCTAGTCCAATCACCTGCTCCAGCAGGGTTAGAAGGGAGTGTGTGTGTGTGTGTGTGTGTGTTTGTGTGTTCTCCTTGCAATTTACCAGAACATTTTGATTTTGCCTTCTTCAGAATTGGCACTTTAAAACATTGGGGAAAAGTAATTTTTTAGGGTGGAGATCTGGTCCAATGGATCCTGTTTAAAGCCTCAACAAAATGTGAGAGCTTCCTGATAGTCTTGACCATGGTTCGTCCACAAAACCTTTAATAGAAGCCAAAGAGGCATCAGCTAGCTAGCGCTCTCTCCCTCTCTCTCTCTCTCTCTCTCCCTCTGTCCATCCCAGACTGGCTTTGCTCTACTTTCCCAATGTGCCTGCGGGGCCAGCACTTCGAACATGGATGGATAGAGAGAGAGACAGGCAGAGAGACAGAGAAAGACAGGTAGGTAGGTAGGTAGCTAGCTAGGTAGATAGATATATTGGTAAATAGGTAGGTAGGTAGGTAGGTAGGCAGGCAGGCAAGCAGGCAGGAAGACAGACAGACAAACCTTTTGGATGGTTGTATTGATAGGTATGTAGATAGGTAAATAGATAGATATTGGTAGATAGATAGACAGGCAGGCAGGCAGGTATGTAGACAGGAAGGCAGACAGACAGACAGACCTTTTGGATGGATGGATAGATAGACAGACAGACAGACACAGAACGCAACAGCGGTGACACTTTGGGAAAGTTCGTCACGGGATTCGAGGTGCCGGCTCTGGAGCAGTGCAACAGTTAATGGGGTGAACCTGCAGTGCTGGCGCCTCGAACACCCCCCCCCCGCCGCCTTTTAGTGCCCCTCTGCCAGCCCCCTTGGGGGTGCTAAGAGGTGGCAGGGGAGCATTCGAAGTGCCGGCACCGCAGGTTCACCCCATTGACTGTTGCACCAGAGAGGTGCAAGGGACTCAATGGGGTGAGCCTGCGGAGCCGGCGCATCGAATGCAGCACATGCGAAAGTGGCACATTGCAAAAGTAGAGCAAAGCTGCCTGCCCTGGGCTTCCTCAACCCTGCCTCAACCCCTCCAGGAAGAAGGAACAGCACCGGCCTCTACGACGTGAGTGCCCTGAGAGGGGGGGCAGCTTGGGAGGCTGATCCCTGGCAGGAGGGGCACCCTGTGAACTTGCTGTCAGGCACGGCAAAGCCCCCCTTCCTCTGCCTCCCCCTAGGACAGGGGTCTGCAACCTTAAACACTCAAAGAGCCATTTGGACCTGTTTCCCACAGAAAAACAAAACACCGGGAGCCCCAAGACGTGGGTGGGCGTGGCAACTCAATGTCCCTCCCACTGAGTCACGTGACCCCCCAGGTTTTGTGGTTTTCTGTGTTTTCTATGGGGAAAAGGTTGCTCTCCCTCTCTCCTCCCTCCCTCTCCCATCTCTATCTTTCTCCCTCTATCTCCCTCTCCATCCTTTCCTCCTCATCTCTCTCTTTCTCTCTCTCTCCCCGTGTCTGTGTCTCTTCTCACTCTCTCGGAAAGCCCTGCGTGCTCTCCTTGGGGCTCTTTGCTGTCCCCTTTTCTTTCTTCCTTTTGGAAATCTGGGCTGGCTGAAGAACGAGAGGAGGGGAAGGGAAGCCTCCACCACGGCGTCTGCTCGTTCCTCAGATAGCCCGGATTTCCAAAAGGAAGGAAGAAAAAAGGATAGCGAAGATCTCCAAGTAGAGAATGCAGGACTTTCCGAGAGTGTGAGAAGCTTTTTTTTCTTTCTTCTTGGCGAGTTTTTGGAAATCCAGGTTGGCTGAGGAATGAGTGCAAGTCGTGGCAGAGGCTTCCTTCCTTCCTCCCCCTCTCCTTCTCCTCTCGTGCGCACCCTCCAGGCCCCACCACAGCAGGCTCCACACCCAAATTTAGTGCACTTTACTACGATCCCTCCTCCTCCTCCTGGAGCCCATTACAATGCGGTGTATCGGAGCGGAGCGGTGCAACAGTCAATGGGGTGACCCTGCAGGGCCTCGAACGCCCCCCTGCTGCCTCTTAGTGCCCCCCTAAGGCATCCCACTGGCCCCCAGGGGGCGGTACCGCCCACTTTGGGAACCACTGTTTTAGAATAACATAGCTACTTTCATAATTACCAATTAAGATATAAATTCAGTTCCATTCTTGAAAAGTTTGCAGTTTTGTTTTTAAAAAATCCAAATCTGATTCATCTTAGACTTGCTCCAGTTAACTGTGTTTCCCCAAAATAAGACCGGGTCTTATATTTTTTGGACCACCCAAAAAGGCACCAGGTCTTAATTTTGGGGGGTGGGTGGGGGCGGCAGCTGCTCCTCCCACTTAGGGTGTCCATGGCCTCACTAGACAGCCGATCTGCGCCTCTTTCAGAGCCTGAAGGAAGGTCCTCCGCAAAACAGCTGATCTGAGCCCCTGTGTCTTCTCTAAACAGCACTTTCCTGCTGAGCCTTCAGCATTGAAATCCTGGGATAGGCTGAAGGCTTGGGGGTGGAATAGAAGGGAAGCGCAGCCTGTCCCTTTCAAGCAATCCAATGTCTGTGTGTGTGTGTGTGTGTGTGAGAGAGAGAGAGAGAGGCAAGAGAGAAAGAGAAATGGTGGTGAGGAAACCCTTTCAAAACAGTGTTTCCTGCAACTCTTGTTACTCCCCTCCGCTGTTTCTCTCTCTCACACACACACCCCCAAACAGACATTGGATTGTTTGAAAGGGACAGGCTGCGCTTCGCTTCTCCTGTAAGCAAACACATCCCACAATCTGTCAGAATTGCCTGCCTTTTTGTCCTTTTCTCAAGCAGCAGCAGCAGCCGCCGCCAGGTAGAGGTGGGGAACAGTTCCAGGCACACGGAGAGACACAACTCCTGGCTCTTGCTGGATCAGCGGGCTGGGTCGCCTGAGTTAAAGGACCCAGGTGACAGGGACAGGGAAGTGGCCATGGCCACCCACTTCACTAGTGCTTACTTTTGGGGTAGGGTTTATAATTAGGCACAGCCCAAAATATCAGGGAGGGCTTACTTTGGGGGTAGGTCATATTTTGGGGAAACACGGTATTTCTACTCGCTACTAGCTTAGGAAGATTTGGAGAAACTAAATGAAACTTGTGGTATAGTATCCCTTTTTAATACAGGTGATCCTCATTTAGTAACTGCAGATGAGACTAGCGACTGTCACAGAGGCAGTCATAAAGCAAACAGTCACACGACTGCAGTTTATCGGATCTAGCGGTAGTGATTAAAGGAATGACTGGGCTGTTAGGCACAATGTCACATGACCGCCACCTGCAGCTTCCCACCAGCTTCCCCATTGACTTTGCTAGTCAAAAGCTGGCTGTGAAGGCTGCAAATGGTGGTCATGTAAACATGGGATGATGCATCGCTCATTATGAGGGCTGACAGCCAAGCACACAAATTGTGAACATGTGACTGTGGCGACAACGCAACAAGAGGCAATGCCAAGAACTTGGGGAAAGTCTTATTTCAGGGCATGTCCGTTTGAACCGCTTGCTGAATGAGCAGTCAGAGAGCCAGGGCTGCCCATAGCAGTGGAAGGAAACGGAGGAAACCGGACTAACAAACTGGAATCTCTCGTCTTAGTAAACCAGGAAAGAATTGCTTTGAGCAACATGAAACTTCCATGCTCTTAAAACAAAGTTAGAATTTGGCTCTGTCCTACATATGAATGCTGTAGTAGAATGGTTCTATGGCATCTAGTGCCACTTTAAGCTGAGCATGGTCCTCCTGGCCCTGTTCTCACAATTCCCCATGGATCAAGACAAGGTGGAGATTGGCCGAAAGGATTATGACCTCGTGCGAGAAGGAAAAGGAGACATGGCCCTTTGAAAGCTGTGGTTGTTTTGAGGAATCGCCCAGAGGAGGAAGACTTTTGAACAGTAGAGTCAACCTGTTCTTAGTTCTTCTTTGCCCCTTGCCTCCTTTTTTATTATCATGAGTGTAAAATCGGAAGTTAACCCTGTTGAATTAATGCTGGTCCGTTGTGGACTGTTTCGTTCAGCACTAAACTGACTTAAGGAGAACACCGAGGTCTCTTTAGGTGAGGCAGGTTTGGGAGCCAAGCCCAGAAGCGCGTTCAGAGCTTCGGCGCCGTTTCCGACCCCGCTCCTCGGGGAGGCCGACCCGGGGGAGGCGAGGGGCCGCGCCGCCCTGTTCTGCAAGAGGCGAGAGCCCGACCCGGCCCCACCCGCCGCCGCCCGCGCCCCTCTCGCCCACCCGACGCCGGACTTACGGTGCCACAGGAGGCAGAGCAGCCCCGCCGCCGTCGCTGCCGCGCTCCGCCACGAGCCCATCGCCGCCCGACGCCCGGGACGCGCCGTCCGCCTGCCGCGGCTTCGCCGAAGCGGCCCCGCTGCCTCTTCCGCGAAAGCGCAGGGCGGGCCGCCACGCGGGCGGAGGCGGCGTCTGCTGGGACCGGGCCCTTCCGCGGAGGCCGAGGGAAGGGAGGGAGGGAGGGAGGGCAGGTCGGGAGCCGCCTCCGCCGTGGCCGCCCCCGCTTCCCCCCGGCTTGCGGGCATCCCTTCTGCCGCGCGCCGCTCCTGCCGTTCGGAGGCTGCTGGCCGCGCTGGACGGGTCGCCCGCGTTCCCCAGCCGCCCTCGGTTGCCTTAACCGGCCCGCCTGCGTCCTTTGGCCCAAAGCGGAGGCCGTGCGGGTAGAAAGGGCCTTGGGCGGTCCGGGTCAAGGGGCCGCTGGGCTGGGATTCCGGCTGGCGGGTCTTGGGGGAAGCCGGGCCCAATCCACGTGCCCTGAAAGCGCCAGCAGTCTTTGGAGACGCTTGCCTGTTATTTCTCCGCAGTTGCCCCGGACGGGAGTAAAGACCCCCCCCCCGAAATTCCCAGGCAGGAAACGACCGATGACGACCCCCAGGGGGCTCCTCCACAGACCCTTGGGAACTCCCAGCTGCCTATGGAGGTTGTTCCAATGTCCGTTTGAATGGTTTCATGTAACAGGTTATCTGTGATCATTTTCATATACTTAAAAAGTTAAGGTCATGTCCAACTCTGGTTTCTTACCTGAAGGAGCCAACGGTGTCCATGATCATGTCACCAGCATGACTATAATGCTTCCCACCAAAATAGCACCTGTTCATCTACTCACATTTGCATGCTTTCAAATTGCTCCATGGGCAGCAGGTGGGGCACAAGTGCAACCCTTGGGTCTCCAACTGGCTGTTGGCTTTCCAGCTGACAAGCTCAGCATCTTAAATTGCTGAGACTTCCCACCCCATTGATATAGTTAAAGTGGGCTAAAGACCACTTTGTATACATTATTGTGGCTCATCACAATCATCCATATGTTCTGTACACTGCGCATAATATGAAGCCACTGCTACCAGTTTTTTTTAGCTGGTGTTGCTGTCAGATGCATTGTGTTCTTCCCAAGAACTCACAGTATTTTAACCTGTTCATTTTTACCTACTTTATTTTCCTACCATTTTTTAATTATTATTTGCACATGATAACTTTTAGATATGTTTTGGCAACCGTGTAATGATAAAAAAATGTTAATAATCAATTAGTGTCATCTTACATGAGCCAAATATATGATCCACTGTTTCTTCTGCTTCTTTGCATAATAAACACTTTGAATCCTTTGATGGTTTTTCAAGTTTATGTGTGTGTTAGATAGCCAGCATTTTTTGCCATAACCACAATATCAAGCTGGATTGAAGCTGATTTAAGGCACCAGCTAAAAACCAAGAGGCACTGAGTTTCTAGACCCATCTTAGGCACAAAGCCAGCTGAATCATCTCAGGCCAGTCGCTCTCACTCAGCCCTAGGAAGGAGGCAAGGGTTAATCACTCCTAAAAAAGTTTGACAAGAAAACAGCAGGGAGCAATCCAGGCAATCACCAGAATAGTGACTTAAAGACACAAAACAAAACAATCCCAAACCAAATACGTGGCAGCTTGGGTTAAAAAACAACTAGAGCCCTCAGCGACATACAACACAGATTTCACTAGCAGACTCCGTTCATACTTTGGAAGGTTTGGGGGGCCTTCGAGGACCCCCATGCCTGCTTCTAGAGCAGGGGTCCTCAAACTTGGCAGCTTGTGGACTTCAACTCCCAGAATTCTCCAGCCAAGTTTGGAGACCTCTGCTCTAGGGGGATGGAGTTCCAGAGGGCAGAGTTGCTTCCTCTGTCCAGAAGATGGTAACATAAAGGCCCCTTTGGAGAAGTGGTGAATACTAGTCCTGCTTTAGCATGAAGGTTGGCTGTGTGGCATTGGGCCAATCCCTCTCAGCCCAGTTGCCTCACAGGATGATGGTTGGGGAGAAAACAGGAAGGAGCATTAGGTAGGTACAGCCAAGTGCGGAGGCATAGAATCGGAAGGGCCTGGCTCAACGGCAGCAACTGTTAGGTGTTCTAGCTGCTTAACTATAAGCCAGCAATGTTCTGCAATGGCCAGGAAAGCCAATGCCATCCTAGGCTGCATCAACAGAGGAATAGAAACAACTTCACATGAAGAGTTAGTACCCCTTTATAAGGCCTTGGTAAGGCCGCACTTGGAGTACTGCAGCCAGTTTTGGCCACCACGATACAAACAAGATGCTGAGACTCTGGAAAGAGAGCAGATGGGAGCAACAATGACTAGGGGGTGGATGCTAAATTGTATAATGAATGCTTGCAGGAATTGTTTATGTCTAGTTTATGGAAGAGAAAGATAAGTGGGGTGGCATAAGCAGAGATGGTATTCAGCCGGTTCTGACCAGTTCTGGAAAACTGGGAGCGGAAATGTTGAGTCGTTTGGAGAACTGGCAAATCCCACCTCTGGCTGGTCCTACCCCCATCTCTTCTCTGCCTCCCACTGAGTCCCAGCTCATTGGCTGGCTGTTCTTTGGTTGCCCTGCACAGGAGAAGGGAGCTGGAAAGCAGGTCAGTGGGGTGGGGAGGGAAGGGGGATTTTACAGTATCCTTCCCCTGCCACGCCCACCAAGCCCCGCCCACTGAACTGGTAGGAAAAAAAATGTTGAATCCCACCGCTGGGCATAAGGCTCCTGCCTTGAGCAGAAGGTTGGACTAGAAGACCTCTGAGGTCCCCTCCAACCCTAAGGTTCTATGTTCTGTTTGTTCACCGTCCTGAGTTGGATATAAAAAGGGCGAGGTGAACATACAATTGCAGTGGGGGCAGAAGGGCAAGACCCTCCACCGGTGCCCAGCCCGGGGCACGGCCGGAGGGGCCACCGATGCCAGTGGGGCTCCCAAACCGTCGAGCCGGCGCTTCCAGAGGCCTCCCGGAGCGGCCCTTTCCTTCGGCCCCTCCAAAGCTCTGGGGCCCCGCGCGGGCTCGGCCGCTTCATGCAGTCACGCCCGGGGTGGGGGGGCTCTGCTTTCCGTGCCAGCCGACGGAACCTCCCCGCGCGGAACTAAAGGCGGCCGCCGGGGTTTCGGGCGAGCCGTCGGGTCATCCGCGCTCCTCCTCCCCCGCCGACCCCCCCCCCCCCCCCCCCCCCAGGGCCCCCCCCGAGGCGCCGGTTCAGCACCCGCCAGAAAACGGAAGGCCTCCGCCCGCCCGCCCGCCCGCCAGAGGGCGATGCGGAGACCGGAGGAGGAGGCGCGCTAGCCAGCAGCCCCGCCCCGGGAAGGGCGCGCGCGGGAGCCCCGCCCCCTCCCCTCCCGCCATGGCCGACGTGCTGACCGACGCGCACCGGCGCTTCCTGCAGGCGCTGCTGGCCCGCGGGGTGGTGGAGGCGGCCGAGGCGGAGCGGCTGCGCCGGCTGTGCTGCCAGCGGCACCCGGGTCAGTGGGCGCCGGAGGGCCGCTCGGGGGAGGCCGCGGGAGGGAAGGGCCGGCTGGGGCGGCGCGGGCTGCCCGGAGAGGGCCCGGCGAGCGCTGCGGGGGGGTCTCTGCCGCCCCGCCCGCCCGGGGCTCCCCCGGAGGCTGGGGGGGGGGGGCTCGAGGGCTGCCTGACGCTCCCTTCCCCCCCCTTGCGCCCCCCCTTCCGCAGCCCCCGGCGCCGGCGAGCAGCTGGACGACTTCCTGGCCGCCCTGAACGCGCAGCTGCAGCCGCTCTCCATGGAGATCCGGAAGGGCTCGGCGGAGGACACCGGGGGGACCTACTTGGCCCTGGTGAGGAGGAGGAGGAGGAGGCGCCCCTTCGGGAGAGGTCAGGGCTGGGGGGGTGTTTAAAGCTCCCCCCTCATGGATCGTGACCCCTGAACCGAAGGGGGGGCTTCCCTGCCCAGAGGCCCCGCAGCTCTGACCCCCAACCGCCTTTCATCCCCCCCCCCCATTCCTTCCGATCCCAGGTGAACCTGGCAGAAACCGACATCACCAAAATGGCCAGCGACTTCTCTGAAAATGAGCTGGAGCTGTTCAAGAAGACGGTAAGTATGGCTACTGCCCTGGACCGAATGCCCGCGGCTGCTGTCGGGTTGCTCAGGAGAAGCACGAGGGGAAATGAGCTAACTCTGCTCACAGCCAGCGGTTCTATCCTGACTGGCTCAAGGTTGACTCAGCCTTCCATCCTTCCGAGGTGGGTCAAACGAGGACCCAGATTATTGTGGGGGCAAGAGGCTGACTCTGTAAACCGCTTAGAGAGGGCTGTAAAAGCACTATGAAGCGTTATATAGAGCCGAGGTTGTACAGTGGTTAGAGTGCAATACTGCAGGCTACTTCTGCTGCCTGCTGGCTGCCAGCAATTCAATCCTGACCAGCTCCAGGTTGACTCTGCCTTCCATCCTTCCGAGGTGGGTCAAACGAGGACCCAGGTTGTTGGGGGCAAGAGGCTGACTCTGTAAGCTGCTTAGAGGGCTGGAAAGCACTGTGAAGGCGGTATATAAGTGCTACTGCTATTGCAGAGCGCTCCTCTGGGGCTCACCTTGCCGCAGTCTGTCCAGCAATTGATACAGATCGGGCCTCTTCCCAACTCTGGGCAAAATAGCCTTCAGAGCTTGGTTTGACATGCAACAGAGAAAGACACCCGGGATCTTTGCCATGTCCTTGTGAGGACTCCTGTCCTGCTCCATCTGCCAGGCGACGGTGGTCAGCATTGGTTCATGGCAGAGGCAGTAGAAACATATAATTTGTGGCACTTTGAGCATGAAACAGTGATTGATTTGAATTGAAGCTACTGATGAAAGTAGAGGGATTCTGCTAAGTTAAGAGTTAGCAGGTAAATTCTGGACACCACAGTAACCCCATTTGTTGAATGGTTACATTTTAGAGTTTACCCTGGGGCCGGACTTAAAACCCCCACTATGTGACTGTTCATGGGAAGGATTTTATGAAATAGTCTGGATAGAAGCGCACACACACACACACACACCCCAACCAGGATGTGCTGTTTGCTTCCTCCCCATTAATTCTGCTAAGGAGAATTCTTTGGGAGAGCAAGTAGAGGAACAATTACTGCCTTGTTAAGTTTTAGCAACTCTCTAGTATTTTGTGCTGTGAAGTAGCCTGAGTATGTTCTAAATAATCCTTATGAGGGCTCCTGGGTGGTCTCTGAGCTTGGTTGTTGGTTGCACTGATGATGTCTATGCAGATTCTCAGTCACCTAGGTCAACCAACCTTTTGGACCTCAGATATCGCCAAACTCATAATTTTAAATCCTGCAGACTAGACACCCTGGGAAAATCCCCCAAAAAGTCTGCAGGAAAATTCCCACCCCATTTTCCTACTGATCGATCGTTCTTTGTTTGGGATCGTAGGATCCCGTCTCCAGCTCCATTCTCAGGGGGAGAGAGATAGAGACTTTTGGCTTCATGCAAGGAAAGCAGCAGAAGTCTTTCTTTCTCTCCCCCAAACTCCGCCAGGAATGAGTCTTTGCCGGCGCAGCCTCTTGGAGCAGGAGGCCTTGCAGGGTCCCAAAGACTCATTTCTGGCGGATTTTGGGGGAGAGAAAGAAAGACTTTGGCTGCTTTCCTTGCACAAAAGCTGAAGAAAGAAATGGAAAGCAGCAGCCCGGTGGCCAGGCGAGGCACATGGGGCCTGTGGGGCAAGTTCCCCCCTCCACCCTTACCCTCCTCTCCTCACTACCTTGTGTTGTTCACAAGGCAAGTGACGCAAGCCTCGTGTTCCCGCGCAGCCTGGATTAATTACTTTGGGGAGGTGCTGTGGGGATGATGTTTCTCTGCGGACCACCAAAATTTTCTCACGGACCACCAGTGGTCCCTGGCCCACTGGTTGGCAACCATTGATCCAGGTCATAGTTGTCTCAAAGGTGCTTTTTCAAAAATGCAACTGGACTGTTTTTTCCTTGAGGAAAATGTTTTGCTTCTCGTCCAAGAAGCTTCATCAGTTGTGGTGGTAGGGGGATGGAAGCATAGGTGGTTGATTGCACTGATGAGGTTTCCTACTCGGGTAAGGAAACGTCTGCAAACAATCCATCTCAAAGAGCACCAAGGACCCAGAGTTACTCTGAGCTAGAGAGATTCTCTTTCGTTGGAATACTCCCAATGAGATGGCCAGTCACGAAAACTTTCCTGGAATGGACCGATGCAGCAGAGGTGCCTCCGCAGGATGTCGTCTTGCATTCAGTTGTCCAAGCTTTTTCTTGAAGCATGTCACTAATTTTAGGTTACAGCTATTTATTCTCTTCTTTTTTGGCCCATGTGTGATGTGTAAAATGGTCTGTAGAGTTAAAAACAAAAATACAATACAAATCTCTCCAGGGCTGTAGCCATGTTTATCTATTCCAGGAAAACCACATTTATTAAGTTCTAGCGGATGATAGTCTAATACATGCGTTCTGCCCCTTGGGTCCGGTCCTGTTGGGGCAAACATCAAGTCACACCATCCCTGATTGGAAACTCTGGGTGTGTGTGTGTGTGTGTGTGTGTGTGCCTAAGATGCGGCACCCTGTGTCTGTCCGGGGAAAGAGTTTCGGTCCTTTATTTTTACAGCTGGACCTGATCCTGATGTCCGGGAACGGCTTTGCATCGTCCACCGAGATCTTGAACTTGGCCGACCAGTTGAAGCCAAAGAAAATGAAGAAAATGGAGGTGGAGCAAGTGCTTCAACAGCTGGTGCAGAAGAAGTGGCTGTGTGAGGTAAGGCTAAGGCCTCAGAGGTGAGGAGCACATCACACCACCTCCTGCACAGGAGAGAGGAGGGGCTGATGGGCGCCAAGGAGGATTGACAGCTTGTTGGTGTGTTTTACAGAAAGAAGGGGAATACACCCTGCACATCCGCAGCATCCTTGAGCTGGAACAGTACATCTTCCGCCATTACCCGGAGTCTGCCCGGAAATGCCACATCTGCCACAGCCTTTCTGTTCAGGTAACTACCAGCCCATCTTATGGCAGATGCAAGACATGGATCACCTGTAAAAAAATCAGTCATAGTTTGGTAATTAATGGTGAACTAACATCAGCTGCAGCTCAGTCCTACCTAATGTAATAAAATCTGTTAGTGAAAAAATGAGCTACCAGCCTCCTGATGTTTGGCTACCACAGACTAATTTAGCAGTTGCTGCCCTGCAGTTCCCAACTGTAAGCAGGTGATGGGCCAAAGTTCAAGAAGCCCCCCAAACCCTCCACATGAAGCTGGTCAGCCTCTTGGCTGAATTCCTGCCCATTTAGCAAGTTTTCCTTGGACTTAAGGCAGAAAAGGGCGTCTCCTTGCTCCAGGGGTTTGGCCTCTTTGGAAGCAGGGCTCCGAGCACAGCGAAGGCTCCCCGGCAGTGGCTGGGCAGTTTTTTGTAGGGAGGGTGCAAGATTCTGTTCTGGAGGCCTGAGCCACAATTACGAACCACCAAATGCATTTCCTGGACTCCTCTAGAGCAGCTGGTGGTGACAGAATAGAGGACAAGGCTGGTCAAGTGGGTTCATGGAAAGATGCTCCCCGCTTGCTTCCCTTGGAGGGAGGCGACGAGGGCCTTCAAAGATTCTGGCAGCAACATTTCGACCCAACCCATCAAAACCTCTCGCGTTCCTGAAGAGGCAAAATTATCTGCTCAGAGGCCTGGTATCTCCTTGATCTGTACGTGTGACTCAACGCGACTGCTTCCATTTCAGAGTCAAGTGTGTGAGGACTGTGGAATTGTGCTCCATTGCTCTTGCCTTTCCAAGTACTTCCAAGCACAACCAGAGCCCCGTTGCCCTCACTGCAAGCAGTTTTGGCCTCACCAAATTCCAGGTAAAAACCTGAGGGTGGCATGCCTGTCTGTGGAATATCTGTTTTTCCCAGGGAGGTGAGGGCGACCTGACCACAGTACCTCATCAATAAGGGCGATTTGGCCTTTCTTTCATTTTGTAAGATTGCGAGGCATCGCTTTGTGCTGGAAAATGCAGCCTCGTTCAAATAGAGGGGAGGACCAAATGAAAACAGGATCAGAGCCAAAGCCTTTGCATGAGTCGGGGTGTTCTGCTTTCACCATAAAAGTGCTGGCTCTTGGGATGTGAGCCAACACCATTCTGGCTCCCCTTCCTCCTTCAGCTCATCCTTTCTCCTTTCTCCTTTGCAATGCAGACCTCCATCCTCCCAGCCAGTTGCCCTCAAGCGCCAGGAGAGAGAGCAGGAAAGCCTCCAGGACAGGCTCCAGGCACCAGCAGTAGCAGCAGCACCAGCAGTAGCAGCAGCACCAACAGCCTCTGACCTCTTGGACGACACGGAGGAGCAGGTTCTTTCTCTGGGCGCACCTGGACAAAGTGGGGCTGTGCGGTGGTTAAAAGCTGAAACTGCAAGGGCAGCCATTTTGCCTTCCTTTTTGCTTTGATTGTGGTTGGGCAGTTGGCCTGCCTCTTGTTTGCTGCCTAGGGAGCACTGTCCTCAACGCTTCTCCTTTATAAGGGGAATCATCGCTGTAGACGGGGTTATATCTCACTTGGCGCAACAGGACAGGTCTGAGCACTTACTCCACTCACCCAGTGGGACATCCCTGCCTCTTCAATCCCTAAAGACATTTTGCTGTTGGCATTACTCCTCCTCTGAGCTGGTGGGACTTGAGTGGGTGGTAGATCCATTAGGGAATTTTAATACTTCACCCAAGAGCTTGTTTGCTGCCTATGGAGCACTTTGGGACTCGGCAGGATGATTTGCTTAAGCCTTAATGTTGGTAGCTGTGAGTGACGTATTTTCTACTGACAAAATAAACTTGGGACTGAATATCGCAAAGTATGTTATTCTAGTGCATGTGGAAGTAGCAGGATCTAGAAGACAGGATTATTCTGCTTACTGCATCTTTGGGTGGGTGTGCTTTTCCTGGATCATTCTGTACCTGTACCTATTCTTGGCTCCTCTGGATGTGGCTGTTCTGTTCTCAGCATAAACTAGGACCACCAGAAGCTAACGGAGAAGCTGGTGTCCAGGGCTCGAACGTAATGCCAGTAACTGGCCGGGATAAACAGGACCTCTCCAGGGCTCAAGATACAGTCTTGAAATGCTGCTTCCTTGAACTTAGGAAACTTCACGAAGTCAGGGTCTTCCACATCAACCTGCAAAAGAAATGCCCCTTTGAGACTAAACACTTCAAGAAGCTCAAGAGTACCATCCCTGCATCCCCAGAAGATGGGGAAGAAATGGCTTTGTCCCGACATGCCTATGGCAAGCCTTTTTGGGCAGCCAGCTTTAAAAATTGCAGTGGGCAAATAGTGGCAGTGAGCAAATAGCAGCCATTGTTTCATGAGTCGCAGGTGTCGCCCACCTGGCTGGTGTTGTGAAGAAGGTGGCCTTCGTGTGGATACAGTTTTTCAGACTGGTCAGGAGAGAACAGACGGATATATTTGCGTCCCATCACCTGAAAATGGGAACATGAAAAGTTAATTGCCTGTCATGATGGGGAGAAGTACTTCCATCATCTACCTGCCCTTATCTTTCAAATGTTCCAGGCTAGGCCCATGCAGAGATGGCACGGTTTCTTCGTGCTCTGAGAGTTAGTAAGCCACAGGCAGTGTCCCCTTTTTCTACTAATTCACAGGGTGAAGTTAGCAGCCTGCTAGGAAGGTACTTGGAACACCCAGCAAATAGCTCTAGTGCCCCATCAATAATTTGGTTCAATTGAAACAGTGGTGCTGCCAGAAGTTTGGTGATGCCAGAAGCTGGATTAAGATGATGGTCCAGAGCAAGCTGAAATATTATGTGAAGAACGACAGGGGGTCGGCATTGTTTCTGCCCTGGCAAAAACTTCTGAAGGATGTAAACAAACCTGGACCAAGAAATTTTGTTGTGGATCCTGGTGAAGAGGTGAGATGGTCCCTGATGGGCCAAACCAGGCATTGATGGTGATCTCCTCTTCATCATTTTTGCCCAGGCAACAATAGTCCGGGATGCCAATGTCCTCCTTCAGCTCTGGGATCTGGTGATACCCCATCAGAAGTAAAAGTCAAGAGAGAACATGATCTGTAGGTACCTTCCCATTAAAATGCTTAGGCGGCCAGGGGCCCCAAGTGAGATGGAGCCCATCAAGCGGCTTCTCTGATTGTTATGCCAAGAGAGTGACAGTTTATGGTTTTTGCATTGGGCTTTCACCCTTGTTGTAAACGGCCCAGAGTCACTGAGACTCAGGTGGGCAGCCACAGAATTTTGCATAAATAAATAAATAAATAAATAGGGGTGGGGGAGGATTAGGCTTCTGACAACTTTTTTTCCTTGAGAGATCTCTCTGTGTGAAGGGCAACTGGAGGGGGCACAAGTCCTTTTGCCCCTGAGAACACACTTTGGGGCATGATTCAGGGCGAAGAGAGACACACATCCATTTTCTGGGATGCACAGTAATTTCTGCATTTACCTGTTCAAAAAGCTGGTGCTGAGCAAGGTATCCATTGGGATTCTGGCATGGAAAGGAAAGGGCAGAAGAGAGTCAGCAGAGCAGCCAAGGAGGCAAAACCGCCCCCGCCCTCCCCATTTGCCCCTGTAAAGGCTGACCCAGACCGCAGGCCCTGCCCTCCCCCCACTTCCCCGAAGAGGGGCGCTCTCTGGGTCTCCTGCAAGGGAGCCCCGCTGCTTTTGACCAGAGAGGAGGCGCCCCCAGCCAGTCCGTCGGGGGCTTCGATGAAGGAAGAGCTCGGACCTCCTGCTTGACGAAGCGGCCGACGAACTCCGCGACCGTCATGAGGTTTTGGGACCAATCCTGGTCGGTGTAGCGAGCGCCCAGCTCCACCGGGACGGTGCGGTTGCCGGCCAACTGAAGCAGGTAATCCACGC